ATGCATTACTATACCATTGATAACTGAAATCAGTGTTACCGAGTTGAAACACTATTTGATTACTTTTCAAGATATATTTACTTTTGTTATTCGTTATCTTTTCCTTCTTTTTTTTCAATCAAACATTGTGATGATAACATAATGCCTTATAATATGTTATATAATTTTACGAGATTGATGAGACACATGTAGTTTAATACGTAATATGAATGTTTGTCATATGAAAAATAATGATATGTGAATTTCATGCTAATTAAAAATATGATTTTATAAAATGTGATATAAAAGAACAAATATGTGCAATAAATTAACAAAATTAATTTTATTTTTATTATAATATATTCATAAATATTTCCATTTCATACGATACTAGCAAACACAAAACGCAACAATTAATAACATAACGTTAATGTTATAATTTCCTATTCAACAATATAACATGTTGTTATGTAGGACAAAACATGATAAAACGCTAAAAGACGATTTCAGCCGAAATGCACGTGTTGCATAAACGAACACTGCGAAATATGGCAAGTAAATCAAAAGTGCACGCGCTGCAGAAACATCACGTTACACTTTTGAACTGTTAGGTAATTAGGTCGGTAACCTAATTCCCTAATTTCATGAATGATATATAAAGAGTTGGACCATCTACTCGAGAGAGAGAGTAGAGAGAAAAGTACTGTCCAGTCTAGAGGTGCACGTTACATGTCTCAGGTGAGAGACAGCTGACTCGAGAGTAATACGAGTGTTCCGCATTATAATAACGCGATACATTAATCTAATCGGTGTAGGATAAGCTAAAAAATATCTATGTGAAGTGCAATAAGAGCGTGATCAGAAATTGTAAGAAGACAAGTTCAATAATACATTTTATTAAAAAAACTCCTCAAGACTATAAGATTCCCTTATTATCCTAAACGTTTGCACGTCTGCACCGGATCCCAATTACCGGTTGTGCTTATCATAACTGAGGGCACAACAATGTCTTGTACACAACAGTAACATTGTTGAGTGGAAAATTAAAACATTAATAATATATTATTGTTAATTTGTGTTTGCTGGGATATCCAGTTAAGAATATACTTGTACAGTCTATGGACATCCATAGGATACCCGCAATATCTAGAAACGGACGTGTTTCAGATATCCCATAGATGTTCTTAGGATAGCAGTTGCAAATGTTTATCCTATGAATATCCACTGAACATCCATGGAACATACTGGATACTTTATAGATATCCGACATGTCCAAAGAGAATATCCACTGTACGTGCATAGGTCATCCATGTGCTATTTGGGTGGGTATTAGGGTGTCCTCCCCAGAAAGCACATGGACGTCTTATGAACGTCTAGTAGACGTTCAAGTTTGGATATTAGAACATCCATAAGACGTCCGAATAAAGCCCAACAGACGTCCTGTGGACGTTCATAGGATGTCCGTTTTTACCTATTTTGGACGTCCTTGGAATATTTAAAAAAAGACCTATACTGGACATATTTTTAGTGTCTTTATTCGGTTCAATTTTCTAACAAAAACTATTCATAAATCTCACAGCGTTTGTTGGTATTACTTAAAAATTTTAGATTACTTGATTCCAATGTTACATCACGTTTAAAAATTCTCACTGGCACTGATAGGACTCGAACTTGAATCCACGAGGCACCTCTCGATTATGAATCTGTTGCTTCAGACACATTTCATCGATCGATATAAATGTCTTACATTTTGTCTGTATATATTGTAATTAATACAGTAATATAATATTCTGATAATATGATTTAATAAAATGATTTAATTTCGATAAAAATTATATTTTTTGTACTTGTACTGTTAATTTAACCCTTAGCTAATGAGGTAAGGTCTACAAAATCTTGCACATTCCATTTTGTTATCTTTAAATTTTTATAGTAAAAATTCTTTATTGTTAACTGTTATTGAATAAAGTCATGAAAGACTATAAACTTTGAGTAATTATAAAATAGTACTATTAGAAAAAAGAAAAATCTACTTTATTATATAAGATTTAATTAAATTAATTAAATTTATATATAAACATACCAATCAATCGCTTATTATAAACGATGGGGTATCTGTCTAATGTAACCATAAAATGTAAATAAAATTTGTTAATAATAGTAATTTTTCACAAATTCTCATAGTATCCCAAGTAATGATTCGCGAAATATTTATTATAATAAAGTTCCAAAGAATACTTTAGAATAAATTAGGCTCGGATAATTCTTCAGAAAGTTTTCAGATATCTATTTTTATAATTATTTAGATATTTTTTAAAATGAATTCTCTATGAATTTCATCTCTGTGCTATCCGGGTCAACATTTTTTTATTAGCATATCTTTGAACATCCTACTAGCTGGATAATTGCAACCATGCAATGCTCGTGAGTAAGAAATAGTAGGACAAGTTCTATAAACTTTATTTCTAAGATCCAAATGCTTGAGATGCAAGTACATAAAAAATAAATAACGTGTATAAATAATAATTGTTCACGTTTCTTAAACGTTAGATATTGGTTATATGTCGTCTAAGACTAGTAATCATCATTTATCGACGTGAAAATGACGTGACGTTACTGCCTGGGAATAGAATGATATGTAGCGTTGATAGCGCGCATTCTCAACATGCCTATAGTCAAATTTTATACTTAAGACATTTATATCCAAGATCGGATATCTTATGGACATCCAAATTATGGACATTAACGGATGTCCAAAATCGGATATCTTATGGACATCTATTGCATGTCCATGGATGTGCGAATGTGAAATGAACATAAAATGGATGTCCATAGGATATTCTGTGCTATCTGGATTATTTATTCTTGGTAAAAAATTTTTTTTCGAATTTTTTCCGCGGCACCTTCCAAAAAGTTTCCATCTGACAAAAAAAATCCTGCCAAACTTTTGTTTGATCAGATAACGAGAATCCGTGCTTCCGCATCGTCAAACATTGGAGTACTCTTGTCTACGTTATCAGTATTTTTTAAAGCATGTTTTCTACAAAAATCGTCCTAGAGGACTTTTCATTTATTTTCTACATCGTTTGAGATCCTATAATCTCATTTAAACAATTAGATAAATTGTTGATGAATAAAAAATAAAAAAAATATTTGTTGCATTTATTGTTTGAGCTACAACAAATCATGTATAAACTATAAAATTTGCAATGGTATGTTTGGAGGACAATATACGAGGTTTGATAAAAAAATACGCGGAATTTTCGTTTTTCTCAAAAAATCTTTATTTATTCATTGATATTAATTTTGTCCCCTTCAAAGTACTCCCCATCAGATATAATATATTTGTGCTAGCGTTTTTTTCAATCTTTGAAGCACTTCTGGAATGCAATTTTCGATATGGCGTTTAGCTCCTTCAGCGATTCTGTCTTTATCTTTTCAATGATGGCAAAACGTCGTCCTTTCATGGTTCTTTTCAGTTTCGGAAATAGGAAGAAGTCACAAGGGGCCATGTCCGGCGAATACGGAGGCTGAGGCATCATAACGGTGTTATTTTTGGTCAAAAATTTACGAACAAAATTCAAAAATTTCGGAACAAATTTTGCTGACACACGTTTCATACCCAAAACATCCGAAAAAATTGCTTTGCATGAGCCAAATGATATGCCAACATCATCAGCAACCTCTCTGATAGTGATTCGGCGATTGTCCATAATCATATTCTTCACTTTTTCGACGTTGTCATCGGTTATTGATGTGCTGGGGCGTCCAGGGCGCTCGTCATTTTCAACGTCTTCACGGCCCTCTTAGAAACGTTTGTATCACTTGTAAACGCTTGTTTTATTTATAGAAGATACGTCAAAAGCAACATTCAACATTTCCAATGCGGTGCTATACTTTTTCCATTCTTACAGCAAAATTTAGTACAAATTCTTTGTTCCATTTGTTCCACAAGTTAAAAATCGTCGATCATACCAAAACACGTATATTTTCAACAGCCAACAATAAAGTAAGCATCCAATATAGCTACCAATGTCAAAATACGTCAAGGACAAGTGTACCAACACAACAACAAAAAAATTGTGAAAATTGGACTTATACAACCCGCGAAATTAAAAAATTCCACGTATTTTTTATCAAACCTCGTAAGTGTAAAACATGATACCTTTTGTTTTTATTAATAAAGAAACTTTTTAAATTATATATCACATAATAATTAATAATCTCGTGACACCTAATCTTATGCTGGGAGGGGACCATAAATGTATACAGGGTGCGGCGCCAAAATGTGGACAAATTATACATTTTTTCCAAACATTTTTTATTGCAAAAATGAAAAGGTTTACAAAATTTTTTTAACCACATTGTTTGTAAGGCCATAAAGAACATATTTACTCAATATATTCCCTGCTTGTTTGAATGACCGCCTCCATTCTCGGTCTAAAACGTGCGCAGGCGCGCTTTAATGTGTTACAATCTATATTGGTGAATGCCGCTTCAATAGCGGCTCTCAATGATGCGACTTGGATGTCTGGACTTGTTCGTGACCCTTTCAACTACACTCCATACATAGAAGTCCAAAAGATTCAAATGGCTGTTCTGATTCAAATGGCTGAATTCTGGGCTGTTGGAAGATCAGAATTCTTTCGACCAAAACATGTCGACGTTGTCCGACAACCAATTTTGCACCAAATGACTTGTGTGGGCGGGCGCACCGTCCTACTGG